TGTTATCTGCCTACTGAACTACAGGTTGTGGTCCGATTATACTTAATGACAATTTCCTCTCACCAAAAAAATTACAACACATGTTTTTTTAACGTGAATCATATTGTGTTGACAAAATTTCAATTGTGCAACTACCACATGGGCAGGAACTAGTGATTTCATGTGGAATAACACCCAAGATGGCATTAGACCTATACGAATCAAAATTCCTTAGTCGAACCAATATGGTGAACAAGGTAAACTGTTCGTCTTAATAAGTATTACATGGTTTGCAGTTTATTTTTTTAATACGTGTTGACAATTTCCGCATATGTAGGTGTGTGTTCCGATGAGAGATAATGCCCATTGGTACTTGGCTGTCATTAAGTTGGACAAGGAAGAAGTCCATATCTTGGATCCACAACCAAATGAAGACCGCAATTCCTTTCGACTACAATATGTTCAAACAATGGTAAATTTGTGACATTGTGCCGTTATAACGCAAAAAATGTAAATAACTCTTTCTAAGTACAAACGTTTCTTAATTTGTACATATGAGCTTTATGCAAGCCTTGTGGAAGATTCTCTATCGTGAACAAGGTCCGGGATTGTCGCCACCAAGGATTGCGGAGTTTTAGTACCCAAATCCTTCAAAGGATCAAGAACAACTTCATCGGTAAGTATGCCCATTTTTTTGTGATATTAAACGACGACTTATCAACTTGGTTCTTATCACGCAATGCTTTTATTTTATGTAGGTCTGACAGTGGAGTCTGGGTATGCATGTGGATGTATGGCGCAAGCTGGGACTCCTCTTATATTTGGGTAAAGACAATTCTAATTCGCATATTAGAAAACCACAATTGATTGTTATTTTTGAATCATGCGGTAAGCACCATGTTTGTTGATGTTGATAGCCATGCACTCAAGTGAGGAGGATGCAGATCGCTTTGTACCTTGTTCGATAGCCCATGAACTACATAAGGCATATGGTGCTCATGGAAGCAAGAAGAGTTGCCCCTCAAGTTTAAGCTGCAGTGGAAGAGTACAAGAAAACCCATGAAAGGAGGAAAAAGGAAAGAGAAGAGCACAAGGAAACCCAGTCAACGAGCCCAAGAACAACCTGATTTTGCGTTTTAGTTTTCAAGATGATGGACAACAGTTATGTTTTTTTTTTTCTCAGGATGATGGACAACCGTTTTTTATTTGGTTCGGTGAATGCTTTTTATTTTTGGTTTTTATATTTGGTTTTTGGTTTGGTGAATGCTTTTTATATTTGGTTTTTGGTTTGGTTTGGTGAATGCTTTTTATATTTGGTTTTTGGTTTGGTTTTTGGTTTGGTGAATGCTTTCTATATTTGGTTTTTGGTATTGTGATTGCTTTCTATATTTGGTTTGGTTTGGTTTGTTTTTTCGTGGAAATGGCAAAGGGACTTCACCAAAATTCCAGCTTCCAACTTGTGAGTGAGGTTACTTTTGTTCAAGGCTTCAAGCCATTGTATCTTGTAGAGAGGTTTAATTGGCATCATGTATAGTTAAACTGATTGGCTCCCAATCGTATAATTAAATTTGCATTCATGTATAGGTAACCCAAAAGGTAAAACTGATTGGCTCCCAATCAGTATAATTAATGACCAAACCCAGTACAAGGCAGATAGAAAATTCTTATGTAATTAATTTAATGTTCCTAGGATATGGAAAGGCTTCCATTCCTTGAATTTCCACCAACGATGTTTTCACTCCCCTTTTAGTCAGAGAATTCATTGTAGTAATAAATACAATAAAAAGGCATACATAATTAATGGATTCTTTATTGTGTATAATTAAAAGGATATTTTACTATAAACGAAGCATGATAGATCCATATGGGGATAAAATAAGCATGAGTCTTGATGAAAAAGGGGGAAAAATCACCATAGATAAAAAATCATTATAATCAAGCCATATCCATACTTATTCACGCCTATCATCGTCACTATACTTGTGACCAAATATAAATAAAACCATAATTTTTCGAAAACATTGCAATTTCATAGGTAGTCCCTACTTCCACTTCTAAATAAAACCATAATTTTCGAAAACATTGCAATTTCATAGGTAGTCCCTACTTCGACCTAATTGGAACTGCTTAGAACTGCTTAGAACAAATGAATTTCATAGGTAGTCCCTACTTCCACTTCTATAATTTTGAGAAAACATTGCAATTTCATCAATAGTCCCCACTCGTGGGCCAATTTCAATTGCAACCAAATTTGCACCCTTGCAATAGCTTCTCACATCATAGCAAGTGTAGGATGCAATTGCACCTCCTTGCTTAGGGATGACCATTACTGCATCTCGTCACCTGTCTTAGGGAAATTAGCCATGGCAAATTCACAAAATACTGCATGCATAGAAAAATATTTGTCTGGATAATTAAAAAAATGGGAGACTTTCCTAGTCAGATGATGTACTGGCTCCCCTCAGTACCTGACAGTTTTGAGTGCTGGAGAAAAAGACTGGAAAAAAAAAACAACAAAGCCTTACAGTAAACTTCTTAACAAAAGACATCCAATGCTGGCCCCTTTGCTGCTCCAACGCTCCACCCCGCCCTGCATCAATCGACTCTCATGTAAGCCGAGGACGTTTGCTTGAGGATGCCTCAGGGGTCTCTTCATGCTCCGTATGCCGAAGGTCAATAAAAGTATTGGTCACTTCGGCGATACGGTAGACTGGCAAATAGGCGCACTGGTCCTCCTTAGCATAAACCCCCGTATCCATCCCAATCCTTCCAAGAAAGGTGGTCAAGAAGGTGGCATATGGAAAGGCAGTGTACCAGTTTTCCCCTCTAGGAGCAGCCTCAACCATGTTCAGGCACATGAGAGATGCGAGGTTAACAGGAACACCTCTTTGAGCTTGCCCAAGGATAACCAGGTCAAGTTTACGAATTATCGAATGACCACTGTACCTTGGCATGAAGCAGTTGACGATCATCCAATGGAGGAATCGAAGAGGATCTGGGAGGAAAGAAGCCAGGATGCGCCCCTTCGTCAGTTTCGCCAGTTCAACTTCAAACTCAAAATCGTACAACCGCCCAAGATCGCTTCTGCTATCAATGGGGTGTCCTGCGGCGGGGAGATCGAGGATCTCAGCAAACTGATGAGGCTGGAAGCAGACTCTATAACCCAGGAAGATCGACACGAGATGAGAATCGCAGGGACCAGACAGCTCTAAATTGTGGTAGAACTTCCTCACCACATGCGGGCAGTAACTGGTGCTTCCTCGACTCCGGAGATCAAAGAACTTTTCCCAGCCAAGATTTTTAATTAACTTCTTCACTTCTTGAGGGAAAGGACTCAGGTGGATGAACTCGTACTCGGCCATAATAGATGTCTTGCTTGTGAATGAAAGATAGTCCCCGAGACTTGGGGTGGATCGGCAGTCGTCGTTTGATAGAGATAGTATGCCCATTTCCGCAAATGATTTACCTTTGTTTGCCATGGAGTCAGAGGAAGAAGGAACAAGGGAAGGTGAAGATGGAGGAAAGAGAGATTGTAGGTGTAAGAAAAAGTGATCGTGGGGGTTGAGTGTGGAGACGTGAGTGTGATGGAGACGGTTGAGTCTGGAATGTCAAGAGTTAGAAGATTTCGGAAGATATGTAGTAATGATGATGTTAACTCGTGTAGGTTAAACTAGGGTAAGTAAAGCTAGTTAAACTAGGGTTGGCGCACGAATTGATACCGCAGGAGAAAACAAATGGGCTCGCACGTTCCAGGCCCACTTTTGAATATTGCATGGGTCATGTACAAGCCCAGGTTTGAATGTTATTTAAAAGCCTGCAAAAATCAATGATCAGACCCAGTCCAACTAGAATTACTCCTAAACGCACCGTTAATCAAATTATGTGTTCTTCATCTTCTTCCTCAATCCTCTGGGCGAGACGAACACTACATATCAGGAAACCTAAATTTCACCGAGAGATATAAGGTTCGAGAAAATCACAATAACGCTAAGACAAGATGACAAGCACTAGTGACATGAACCCTAGGGTTAGAGAACCTCTTTCAAGGGTTCTTTTGCAAATGAAAAGTTTGATGAACACAATAATAGACATGGTCGCCGTAATCGTGTTGGAAAGAGATAGGCGAGGGAAATAAAATGGCGAAGAAGAAACAAGACATAATAATTTGGGAAATTCAAACTACGTCGAATGTGGATGCAAGTAATTGGGATTCAAATAGATGATTAAGTTGGGGTGTTCAAATTGGATGGGGAGCTTCTCTTGGAACTATGAAGGGGCGTCCCTCCAAGACGAGAGAGGGATCGTGTAATTGGTTAGGGAAACTGGAAATTGGTTAGGGCGGCAGTGGGTCTACCCAATTGGGTTTGCAGTCTTAATCCATTTAATTTAATCGGGGCAGTTAGTTGGACTAGGATGAAAAGAAACTTAACGCGGAGGAGGCTTTTTGTAATTTGTTTAGTTATTTAGTGGCGCAGTTAGGTTTAACAAACGTGAGCCGTGGAGATTGAAAACGAATGGTTAAGATCGGCCAAGGTACCCGTACCCGGATTTTGCCCTGTGCACCGTAGAAGTCACCATATATATATATATGGGTATTTTATTTTACCCAAAAATGACATGTATCCCAGGACACATCCCATGCCCCAGCTCTGCCTATGCATCCAATCAACCAACTTTAAAATCAAACCACATTGTTAATTAGAACTTAAAAGTATCAGAAATAAATCAACATAAAAACAAAGGATACAAATATGCCGACCTCAATGTGAAAAAGGAGACCACGTACATAAGTCATAATTAACGAGACATATGTATCATGAGCACAACAATTAAGTAGCCATTTCCCAGAAACACAAACAGGAAAACGACAATATTTGGTTCCCATCACTTGGCTCAGAATCTCTGACCACTACCCACTCATTACGTACGTATAAATATCACACTCGCAGCAACTCGCAACTTTGAGTAGTAAACAAACAAACATCCTCAACACCGAACAGTAGTAGCGGTAGCCGTAACTAATGATTCCACAACGTCCAATCGTACCCACCATTACCCTCGCAGTCGCAGTCGCAGCTCTCCTCCGCGCCGCCCCGCCCGCCTCCATATCCATAGCTCGGCGGCGGAGACAGCAGCGGCCCTTCCGCCATTTCCGACAGCAACCTCGGCATCTCCAGCTCCTCCTCCTCGGCCTCCACGTTACCCAATACAATATTAGTGTCGTTGCTGCGATCATCGCCATTGTCCTTACATTCCTCTTCCTGTTCCTGTTCCGGCTCCGTGGCAGGTCCGCCGGGGCCGAACATCTCAGCGGCCTCCGCCGCCACCCTCCTGATGTCGTCTTGATCGGCGGAGGCGGGAAGCGGGAGGCGCCAGGCGGAGTCGGCGAAGTTGAGACAGGCGGACTTCCCGCGGTACGCCAGTGCCGCCACGTCGTGAGCTCTGGCCGCCATTTCCGGGGTCGCGTGAGTTCCGAGCCAGACACGTGTCCCGGTGTTGGGCTCGCGGAGCTCGCAGACCCACTTGCCGCCTTTCCGGCTCCGCACGCCTCTGTACACCGGGTGGCGCGTCTCCCTGAAGACTCTCCTCCCAGTCCGCTTCTTCGGCACCTCCGCCGCCAGCTGGTGCTGCTGCTGCTGATTCTCCGCAGACGTCGTGCCGCTGCCGTTGGACACGGAGGACTCGGAGATGTGAAGCTGTTGACTGCTGGAGACCATATCCGATATTAGATATGGATCAGTTGATTCTCTGTTTTCCGCCTGTCCTTCCATATATGGTCACTAAATTAGAGTGGGCTCAATTACGTATATGGTCACTGAAGTTTTGTGCCTCACTTAGAAATCCACCACTCAAACTAATTCCATCTGTATAAAGAAAAAGGTTCAAGCGCAAAATTGTTATTGCGGATCTAAATTTGCAACAATGAAGTTATTCTTACTTTTGAAACACTTCGGTTGATGGCTTCTAATTAATGCTTTTTCGTTTTACCATTAACATCATCGAGGTCCTGAAACTATCGTGAGACGATACATTTGGCATAGGAACTCACTTTACACAAAGGATTTCAAGGATGACAAAAATTGCAGCTAAATTCTGCTGACTGTGATGCTTTGGTAGATAAAATCACTGCAAGGATAAGGGGCTGGAAGGTTAGGACACTATCCTATGCTGGCAAATTGTAGCTAATCACTGCTGTTATTTCCAGTATTACACAATACTGGATGGGCATTATCCAGCTCCCAGTCAAGGTAATTAAGAGGATTAAGGTCTGCTCTGATTTCTTATGGAGCTCTGAGGATGATGGTAAGAAAGCCACCTAAGGAGGAGCTAGACCTAAGAAGGAGGGTGGACTGGGTTTTAAGGACCTAAGGAGCTGGAACACGACTTGCCCTTATCAGACACCTATGGACTATCTCTTCAAACTCTTCCTCTTTGCGGGCTAACTTGGTAAGACACTATCAGCTCAGTTATACTTCAATATGGGATATACCCTATATAATACCTTACTCTTGGGCTTGGAGGAAGGTGTTGAAGACCAGACCACTTGCTGAACAACATCCCAATGTCAGATCGAGAGTAGTGTACTGGGATGATGGTATCATGACTAGATTTTCTGTCAAGAAGGTTTGGAAATCTCTCAGAGCTAGAAATGAGAAGGTAAAGTGGTACTCACTTGTATGGAAATCCTATGAGACGCCTAGGTACAAATTGCTTATCTGGTTGGTTATTCTTAACAGGCTTGCAACTCTAGACAAAGTGCAGAAGTGGAACCCATTAATCACTAATATCTGTCCTCTCTGCTCTTCTACTGTAGAGTCTAGGGACCATCTATTCTTTGAGTGGTTTTACTCTATAAATATTATCCAAACAGTTTTCCAGTCACAAAATCTAATAGGAGCTAGTTGGGAAGCGTCGATGGAGCTTGTTGTCTCACAGTTCCAGGTCAGCAATCTTGCTTCTGATCGTAGCAGATTACTTTGTGTTATTCTTGTTTCTGAACTTTGGAGGGAAAGATGCAGACGCGTAATGGCAGGAGAGCATCTGATTGAGAACTAGTTTCTAAGGAAGTTGCAGAGTATGCAAGGTCGATCGCTATAAGACTCGATTAGTCTCCAAGGGCTTCACTCAACTCGAAGGGATTGACTTCCATGACATCTTTTCTCTCGTTGCTAAGTTGGTCACTGTTGGCGTACTTCTAGCCGTTGCAGCTAAGAAGAATTGATCGTTACATCAGTTGGATGTGAATAACGCATTCCTCCACGGTGACTTAGAAGAGGAGGTCTATATGAAGGTGCCGCAAGGTTTTGCAAAGCTCGGTGATACTCGCGCTTGCAAGCTTCGTAAGTCCCGTTATGGTCTTCGTCAAGCATCACGGAGCTGGTACACTAAGTTCACTGAGGCCTTGTTCGAGTTCGGCTTCACCATCTCCAAAGGTGATCACTCCCTGTTCCTCTTTCAAGCACAAAATATCTTTGTCGCCATCCTCATATATATCAACGTTGTTGTGCTGACTGGGAATGATGCAGCGACTATTGCCCGGGTTAAGGAGTTTCTACATCGCCGGGTCAGCATCAAGGACTTGGGGTTCTCAAATACTTTCTCGGGATAGAAGTTGCACACTCTCCTAATGGTATTGTTCTTAGTCAACGGAAGTACACTCTCGATATACTTGCATATTCGGGTATGACTACAGCTCGACCCAGTGCATTTCCTATGGAAGAGAACCATAATATGACATGCCCGACTGAGGAGCGTGTGGATGACATGAGCTCCTATCAACGCCTTGTAGGCCGCCTCCTGTACCTCACTATCAGTCGACCGAATATTGCATACTCCGTCAACTTGCTCAACCAATTCGTTCATTCGCCCTCTCCTGATCACATGGTCGCGGCTCACCGGGTACTGCGATACTTGAAGAGTGCCCCGGGACAGGGTCTGTTCCTTCCTGCTGCTGGCTCCCTCGATCTCACTGCATATAGCGATGCAGACTCGGCCGGTTGTCAGTTCAGTCGACACTCCCCTACGGGCTACTACATTAAGCTGGGCGGAGCCTCGGTCTCCTGGCTTGCCAAGAAGCAGCGTGTGGTTACCCGCTCTTTTGCGGAGACGGTGTATCATGCTATGGCTAGCACAACCAGTGAAGTTCTTTGGCTTTGTTTCCTCCACCACGAGTTGCAGGTACCGCAACATGCCCTGACTCCGCTTTACTGCGATAATTAGGCAGCCCTTCACATTGCTGTCCATATGGTGTTCCATGAGCGGACTAAGCACGTGGAGATGGACTGCTACTTCGTTCGAGAGGGTTGGCACTCTCTCGCAGTTTGCAGACATTTTCACAAAGGCTTTGGGCACTGACCAGTTTCACGCACTCTTGTCCAAGTTTGGCATTCGTGACCTTCATGCTTCAGCTTGAGGGGGAGTATTAACCATATTTGTACAAGTTTTATTTATTGAGTACTTTCTTATAATTAACCTTATACCCGTGATTAATGTGGAGGGTATAAAGGTGTGTTTAGGCCGAACCTCTAACCCTAAGAGGGTTGTGCGGCAGAGAACACAAAACAATCATCATCACTAGTGATCATCATCGAGATTCATGCTCACCACCGTGGACTAGTCCCAACAATTGGGAAAACCACGTAAATCATGTGTCTCTTCTATTTTTTGCGTTTATTCTTGTTTACACAACATCTAAACGATATTACACAGCACAATAACCAATAATAACAGTCCAAAAATATTCTTTGTTCTCCACCTTTAGAAGTACATGGTCAGTGTGTAGTGCGGTTAGAAAATATGATGAATATTCGATAGTATAAGAATCAACATTTTGTCATGTGAAAATATGATGCGGATCATTTAGGTGAGTCGCAATCCATCCACACTCACCAACATAAGAGTGAGTAGGAGATCTATCAATCAGCAATCTACCCACATCAATCACCCATTACTTGTAATTCGAATTATTTGCGGGTGGATCGATATCAACCCGCGAATTAACCACCCACGTGCCGACCAGTAAGATTTTTCATGAAACATGAGAAAGATGGACGAATAGACAAACATATTAGTTGTTAATTTCCATGTTGAGGAGCAAAGTGCTAGAAATCAAAACACATTGACCTATTAGTTACTAAATAGAAGCTTTAGTGGCCATTTATGTAATTGGCCCGTCACCCGTGAAACATATATACTTATATAGGCTTGACGTGGGGAAAGCTGGCAAATGGGGAAAGAAAAGAGCACGAAACAAAAGCTTACAGATCATAAATATCAACCCATTTAGAGGAAACAAAAGTTGCTTCCTAGTTTTGGTGCGGTGGGTCAGTTACTCAGTGCTGGGAACCACCAAAGCTCTCGATCTTGTTGCTTTTTTAGTCATAATTGGTTTATATATTTGAGATTTTCAATCCACACAAAACTGGTACTAGCTGTAATTAATTTTCAATCTATTTATATTTGGATTGTTATAAAGTTGAGAAAATTAAAACCCTCTGCCTTCATATTAATAATGTGAGGTGGGGGGTGTGATTGAAACTGTTTGGCGCTCATCAAACAGACCCCGGGGACAACTTCGAGATGCATATATTTTGGCAAGTTTCTTCGTCTGTTAGCTTTGGTAAATTTTATGTATGTAATGAGTAGTGATATGTCTGGTTTTAAAATCATGTAGATGGTCGGGTAGTATTGTACCATGTCTGGTGTACTGTAGCGATGGACTCGCTTTGTAGTTGTGTTTCGATTCCTATTGGGTCACAAGCGGTTGAGCTTAATAAGATGTGCTATCAGGGGAAATTTGATAGACATACATAAATGTAAAGATAATATATTAGTCACAATGAACAAACACAACTTGTTTGTAAGAAAATATCACACCTCACTAGACTGGAAGTTTGGTACCGGTATTTGGGATATACCGAATACCATACCGAATTTGTCTATATTTGGTATTATCGAATACACGTATTATTTCGTGGGATTGAGATTGGGATTGGGATTGAGTTTCAATTGTTATTCGGTATTAGGAATTACGGGATTGGGATCGGTATATACCGAAATACCGATCAATACTGAAATATAAGCTAGTGTGTATTTTATCCTCTCAACTAGACTCTCTCATTCACTATTACGCGACCCTCAACCACAAAGAATGTCATTTAATTATACATAGATCATTACATTACTATTTCACACTAGTATTAGTCGTCTCTCAACCTCATATTCATCAAATTAAAGATTACCAATTACAAAAACTTGAGATGTTAGCTCTAGACAACTCAAGACTCTTTGCTTAGTCTCTTTGCCCTAAATTAAATAATAAAATCTAATTTATGTATTTAATTATTAATTGCAAAGGTAATTAATTTTGTATTTGATAATACCGATTGGGATACCGAAATATTTAGAGATTGGGATACCTAAATTATTTAGGAATTGAGATTGATTTCAGAGTGTAATTCGGTATTCAAGATTTCGATATTTGATATTGATATACCAATACTGTACCGATTTCCACCCTACGCCTCACCCAAACAAGTTGATGCCGCAATCCCTCTCCCTTGTCCCCACCAAAAACAAACGCATATACCAGTATAAAAACTCTTGTTACTGACCATTGATTATGGAAAGCATTTGTCTCAATCTGGTGTCAAAACTTCAAACAAAACATCAAATGGACATAACAAAGTTGGACAGTTGGTGAAAATGATTAATCAGTTGAGAAATACAAAATCATCCAGATCGAAACATTGCGAGAGGGTTGTAAATTGGGTTTTTTTCCGAGATTTGATAACATTTCACCTCGTTATTTGTGGCTAGTCCACCAATCCCCTCGGTGGAAAGAATCTTCATTTGAGTCCATAGAACTTTGTGCACTTGCTAATAAGATGTAATGGTTTAGGTATTAGGGATGTCAAAGGGAGGGTACAAGTCTCTCGATCCCCATCCGTCAACCTCGACGAAATTTCCCCTCCCAGTCTCCGGCGACTAAACAGAGTAGATTGGCTACCGTCCCCGTCCGCCGACAGGTTCGGACAACTCACCGATTTTGACGGCCAGCGTCCGCTATTGAGAGGAAGTTGCGACGAACCTTGCAAAAAACTGTCGCCGATGATATACAGAGAACTTAGGAGAAGGAGGAGGGAATTATTTTGTTGGCGGTGGAATTGGGTGGTTGGCTATTAGGAATTGCGACGACCATAGAAACTGATGGTTGGTGAAAGAAGTCGACGGCCGACGCATGTTATACTGAGGAAAAGAAGAAGGAGGAGATTATTTTATTGGTGGTGGGAGACTAGGGGTTGCGGGGATGACAGAAAGTGATGGCTGGTGAAAAAAAAAATTAAAGTGGTTCTATGCGTGAGAAGTGAAGTTTGGATGGGAGGGTTTTTAGATGGGGTTAATTTTCTTAATGAAAACGACATCGTTTTGGGATGGGGCGGATACTTCGAGATCTATCCCCTCCCCGGTTGCCCGCTACTATAGGGTTTCGGGCATTCTCGGATCTGCCATTTATCCTTGACGGACAAGTTTTTTGACCCAGTCAAGGCGGGTTTCAGATGGATACTCTGCGGGTCTGACAGGGTTACCATCCCTATTAGGTATTGGTTCGAATTTCTCTGTCAAAATAATCATACATGATTTCTTCGACCACCCACATAATTAGATGACGAAATTTTTCATACAAATATATCTCGATAATGACTACTAACATCCATGAACTATCCTTTGATTTTAGGTTTATATTGGTATAAAGACTAACAGCATCCATAAATGATTCATATTGTTCTGGCTATGTACAAAATGACGTCTTTTTACTGTATGGATGCGGGTCACATGGAAAGCGGATTGGATTTTGGTGAAACCCAAACCCAACCTAACACAATCCGTCAATTTCAAATGTCAGTAAAACCTGCATCCAACCCAAAACCCGTCAACATTGGAATTTACCCGCTTTGATCGAATTGAGTACTCGTGGGTCAAATTCAATTGTCATCCCTACTTGTTGTTGACTCTTGATGAGCATCATTAATTTGTCGTTGATAAAGTTCAAACATATGATTATACAAGAAACACACCCAAGAAGAAATGTAATCAATAGACACAATGTAGTCAAAATCGCGCTTTAAAAGTTAAAAACTTACGATTTTATGTTTTTAAGTCACTAAAACGCTTCTACACAAAATCTCAATTTTTATAACTTACGTAGTTAAAACTCCGCTTTAAAACTTAAAAATTTAAGCTTTTACGCTTCTAAATCACCAAAACGTTTTTACGTAAAAACTCTCTTTTGACTATATAATTGAATAGACATACATAAATATAAAGATAAGATATGTATATGTCACTATTAGCAAACAGAACTTGTATGAACATGTCACACCTTTCCCTTCAAAACTGCAACCATTACATACGTAGATGTTCAAATAAACAAGAGATATTATTATGAGCACAACAATAAGTTGATGTCCCAATCCCTCTCCCTAGTCCCCACCAGAAACAGACGTAGGACAATAATCTGAGAATAAGGAAGGAGACCAAAAACGAAAAACGAAAAAGAAATTAAACGACTACCTGTCCTTACTAGAATTCACTTGGTGCAGAATCCCCGAGCAAGCTAGGCCACACATATTATAATCACTCGCTGGAGCATTACCAAGGTTGTCAAACCGGTTTATGCCAGTGTGCCGGTTTAGCAAGTGGAATGGTTCAACCGGTGGCACATACCGGTTTGTGCCGGTTCATGCCGGTCAATATTACAAATAAAATTATAAATACTCAGATTTAAACATGACATTTAACGTCAATACCTAAACATTTATACATGAATCCAACAAATAACATCAATATTTAACTTTTATACTCATAAAATAATTTTTATCAATTAAATTCTCTAAAATAAGGTCATTTTACTTTAGAGATTCGTATATCGATCATGCCGGTTATACCGGTGGTGTCACGCCGATTTTATGACTGGTACCGGTTGAACCCGGTACAACCGGTGGCACGCCGGCCGGCATGACAACCATGAGCATTACTCAACCACTCCCACAAATATCTCAACTCACTACAGTATCTAGCAAATGATTCCACAACGTCCCATCATGTTGTTCAATACCGCCATTCTTACTAGTGACCGATTTGTGAATAAACCCAAATTTTGCTGACCATTTTGGTAGTTGACCGGGGAAACAAAGACACCTGGGATCGGGAGGATGGCAAAATCGGAAAGAAAAGTGGAGGAAAGGAAAAGGAAGCTTGCTTGTCAAAAACAGGAAAGAAAAGGTTGGTTCCTCTTAGTATCATATTGATTAATTCATAGTCTAGATAACAAATATCCTGAGTATATAGTAAGGTTAGCATGCTTACGGTATATGTTAGTCTAAACTAAATATATAATGATAGTTTACGCTTAAAGTACGCTATACTTCTGTATTTACGTGTGTTACATGTACTTTGTTATATTTCGATGAATAAGAATCGTCGATTATTATTTTCTAGATTAAATGAATTTTATGATTGGAGTTAGATAATTAAGAATTTGGGTTTACCCATTAAAATTTACGATATAATATCATGTCATAAAATTCGATTTATTCATACTCTAAATAGTAAAATTTATATAGTATGAAGAGAACTTGATAGCTTATGTGTGAGTGGGTTATTTTGGGAATGAAAGACATAAATAATCCGAAAAGGAACCCCACAACTACAATTTCAAGAATAGGCGGGGCACCATGTGGCCCCGGCCGGTTTCAGCAGGTGAGGGGAAATTGCCCATCAAAACAAAAACCTTCCGTCGGCCGATCAGCATCGACGGCGAGCAAAAAAAAAAGGTCGCCGCAACGATGGAGAAGATAGCATTCCAGGACTCCTCCCCCCGAATGGCTGGTGTGGATCGGATATGTGCTCAAACAACTAAAAAAGGATATTATGAGCACACACAGGAAGACAATGGACGATCGAAAGAAGACAGCCCCAACACGACAAGATCGCTGTCTAATTTCCTTACAACTTGGTTCAGAATGTCTCTGAGCAAGCAATCAAGGCCACTCACTCGTTACTTCAAAATTTTCACGAGTAGTACGGACTCCTTCCTTCCTTCCTTCCCACAACGATTACTCAATGCCATCGCTGACTGCGTACAGTTACTAATTACTCCACAACGACCAGTCGTATTCTTCATCAGCAAAGTTGTTCATGTAACTGCCGCTCTCCTCCACCATGTACCCGCTCCACCCGCCGCTCTCGTCTCCGTAGCAGCGCGGCGGAGACATCAGCGGGCCTTCCGCCATCTCCCACAGCAGCCTCGGCACCTCACCCTCCACTTCTTCACGAACCACATCGTTGTTATCGTTACTATCACCATTGTCAGCATAATCCCCGCCAATAGCGATATGTTCATGCACATCCGCCGCCTCGGCCTCCGCGCCGGGCCGGAACATCGCGGCGGCCTCGGCTGCCGCCCTCCTGACGTCCAACTGATCGGTGGAAGCGGGAACGGGGAGGCGCCAGGCGGAGTCGGCGAAGTTGAGGCAGGCGGACTTCCCGCGGTACGCCAGTGCCGCCACGTCATGAGCTCGGGCCGCCATCTCGGCGGTGGCGTGAGTTCCGAGCCAGACGCGCGTCCCGGTGGTTGGCTCGCGGAGCTCGCAGACCCACTTGTCGCCTTTGCGGCTCCTCACGCCTCGGTAAACCGGGTGGCGCGTCTCCCTGAACACCCTCCTCCCGGTCCTCTTCTTCGGCACCTCCGCCGCCAGCTGGTGCTGCTGCTGATTGTCCGACGACGTGGTGCCGCTGCCGTTGGAGGCTGATGAGGATGAGTCGTAGGATGACTGGCGCTGCGAGTAGTGGAGCTGTTGAGTGCTGCTGAAGACTACTGTATCCATTTGTTTGTTGTTGAAGTTGGAAGTTGGATTTGGAAGTGAGGTGAAGTTTGGGTTATTTATAGGGTTCGGCCCACGCGTTCGCACCCTCGCTTAAGGAAAGAGGGAGTGGCTAAGTTTTGACAGCCTGGCCCAAAAGTGAGTGAATCATCACTGTCTCGCTCCCTGTCTAATTACATGCATGGTCACAATATTTCAGCGTCACAAGTCTATGGACCACCTACTTTTTAGTATTTTCCGATGTTCACCATTGACGTTTTTTTTTAATTATGAACATCTCTAGGGATTGTATATTTTTAACAACACGGTGGATTCATTCTTTGATTGGTCAAGGGAATCGAGTTTTGATGATAAATCAACTGCATATTCAATAGCGAGTCTTTATCATAGTTTTTGTTCGTTAAAATCTTTATAGAACTGTATATTTAGTTGTGAAAAATGCTCTTTTATCGGTAGTTATGTTGCTTACAAACTATTGTGCATGGTTAGAGTTGGTCTTGTCAATTAGTCTAGCTGTTTGGGTACCACATTCTTGACATATAAATGTATTGGGTGTGTCAATTACAAAAGATTTTTTTTTTTAAATAACATTTAAAACTTGTTTTCAGTGTGGGTAAGATCTCGGCATTGATAATAGAATTAGAAAATAATCCAGTTATGAGTAATGTGAACTGTAATATGATGAAGTGGAGTGTTTAGATATGATTGAATAGGAGTTGAAATGGGTTGTCTTTTGTTTTTTAAAGTTTGAGCTTGCTAGTTAACGGAGAATAGTTTCACTAAACAGTCATGGATTTAAAAAAAAAAAATCAATAGAACATTGTTAGTATTTAAAGCAGAGGGGACCTATTTGTTAACAATCTAAAATGCACTGATTGTTTCCGCATTTGACACTGGAGAGAGTGGATACTGGCAGAAAGGTTGGTTCCTAATTTTGGTGTGGTGGGCTGGGCTGGGCGCAGTGGTAGGAGTAGGACAGCACTGTACTGTTCTTCTTTTGGGTTCTATTTTGGAGTGAGCATCTATCTTATTCTTATCTACACTACACATAAATGGAATAGTCTTTAGCCGTGTGTCTCCGGAATCAATTTTACCGGATGGATATGCCTGAAGAGACAGAGGGAGGGGGTGCGGTCGGCTAACAATATTATTATGTTAGATAATAATATACCATGTAACCATGATATGTAGAATATTATTATTAATAATATGAATTTTTATCGTTATAGTTATTATCAAATATAGACTCTGTTGGGGATCGTTGTTTGACTTTGATGATCAAGTTTGTCAAATTGGCTCTAATTTTTGACTCGTTCAAACAAGTGAGTTAACGTCCATCTGTTCAAATCGAAATATCCTGGTTGACTCACATTTGGGTTGAAAAGTAGAGACATGCATGAATTCTTAAAATAAAAAAGGTAGACTGAGCGCGAGGGCCCGTTAGGATGACCAGTTATGGTTAATTAATTCCGATATGATATGTCGGTTTCATTAAAGTTTAACAATCATGTTGGCAAGTTAATGCTCGAGTTGGTGATATTAGCTAAAAATATGTATTGATAATTAATACTATTTGAGCATTATTGTCTTGATAATGATTTATTATTTAATAATAATAATTGTTGTATGTAAATATTTTAGGGTTATCTTTTGTAAATTCTATGTCTCTTTTTCAATAATATGATTCAATTATTTTACACCATATTTGTACCCTTACTTTGTTTTCCGATGAATTATTATCACCATATTTGTACCACCTAGTACCACCTTCATTTTTAGCTCGAATTGTGATTTTTTTCTTCCACAAATGAAACAAGTTCATCGTAATTTACTAAAAAGTTTTGGAGAAACAATTACATGAGCAAAATGTACCACTTCATACCACCCTGGTATATGAGTGATAAATGGTGGTAAACAATGATGAATATGGTAAATGACAATTCGTATATTCCTATTATCATGTATTCAATCATGATAAACTCTTGTATGTTCGTACCACCATGCTACTGATGAATATACGAACACACTAATACGAGAAGAGAGAGACACGGATTTACGTGGTTTCCTTGACGAGAATCGCCAAGACTAGTCCACGGCACAAGGCAGAGTTTGATCTTATTCACAGTAGTTCATACGTAGGTCAGCCATCACAACATATATATATACTCGGCCAACCTACAACCCTAATCCCAACTTACGTCACTAATTTGTACAATTACAAATTGGTACCTACACTTCTAACACCCTCCCTCAAATTGATGTAGCTGACGCAACATCAATTTGTGTGCTAGGAACCAGTGACGAGAAGTAGACACTGCCTTAGTCAAAAGATCAGCAGTCTGGTCTTCGGAAGTGATGTAGCTGAGATCCACACTGCCTTCAGCTACAAGCTGACGAACATAATGAACGTGCACTTCAATATGCTTTGTCCTATCGTGTAGCACCGGATTAGTTGCAATACGAATTGCACTCGTATTGTCAACAAACAAACGAACTGGATCCTGGCAAATAACTCCGAGCTCTGCTAATAATCTGCGCAGCCAAACAATTTCAGATGACGCTTCGCTCATGGACCGGTATTCAGCTTCAGTCGACGACTTGGATACCCGATCCTGTTTCTTACATCGCCAAGAGATAAATGAATTACCGATCTTGATGCACCAGCCAGAGGTAGAACGACGCGTGTCTTGGCAACCCGCATAGTCAGCGTCGGAATATGCCTCAAGAATTGGCTCCCCTTCAGTTGGAAATAACAATCCGACCTCCTGTGTACCGCGCAGATATCGCAAAATTCTCTGAACAGCCATCCAGTGAGGCTTGCGTGGAGCTGACATGAATTGACTCACAACCTGTACAGGATACGATATATCGGGTCTAGTATGTGTCAGATAAATGAGACTTCCCACAATACTCCGATATAGTGAACCATCCGGTAGTAACTCACCCTCCAACTGCCGTAGTTTAAGATTCTGCTCCATGGGAGTATTACATGCGAGACAATCATCCATCTGGGCTTCTTCAAGTAAGTCTACAATATACTTTCTTTGGCCAACATGAAGGCCTTCAGGGGAACGATGAATTTCCAAGCCAAGGAAGTAAGAGAGCTCCCCAAGTTCTTTGAGATTAAAAGCTGAGCGCAGGACTAGCAATAAGTCTTCAATACCAACACTATCATCGCCAGTCACCACCATATCGTCCACATAGATCAGAAGTACCGTAAGACCTCGACTAGTGGACCGAAGGAAGAGTGATGGATCATTCTCACTCTGCACGAGACCAGCTTGGACAATGGTGGCCTGAAATTTCTCAAACCACGCCCGAGGAGCTTGTTTTAGACCGTATAAAGAACGACGGAGACGACAAACCATAGTATTGTCACCCCGTGTGTAGCCCGGTGGGCGTTCCATGTAGATAGTTTCCTTTAAATCCCCATGTAAGAATGCATTTTTCACATCTAACTGCAATAACCGCCATTTCTTCATTGCTGCCACCGCTAATAGACTTCGTACTGTCTGCATTTTCGCTACTGGTGCAAAGGTTTCTTCATAATCAACCCCGTACTCTTGTCGAAACCCTTGAGCCACCAGTCTTGCCTTTTCTCGTTCCACCGTACCCTCAGGCAACATCTTAAGAGTATATACCCACTTGCAACCGATAACAGACATGTCTGGTGTGCGCTCCACTAGATCCCACGTCCGTGACGCTTCAAGAGCATCTTTCTCGACGTCCATGGCCTTCTCCCACCGCTCAATTCCTTTAGCTTGTTTGTATGTTGCTGGCACATATACTGGAGATGTGGAATAAGCTAGGAAATCATTATGACGGGCCGGTGGTTTACCTCTGGTCACACGAGTTGACCGGCGCAGATTAGGCTCCTCAACTGGTTCGTCCAGCTCAAAGGTTATAGGTGAGGAGGACGCTGACCTGGAAGAAGAGGACGAAGAGGATACGTCCGCAGCCGAGGAAGAGGTGGTTGGCGAATGGGGCGAATAGGATGCATCACCAGCTGAGGAAGAAACGGACGAGTCCGAGGAATGTGTACTAGGCGAAGATTCCGAGGACGAAGTTTGTTGTGGATCGGGACCATGATCATCGCCTGGGCCATTTGGAGCTGTCGATGTATTTCCAATATCAAGTGGCCAAGTATCAGCCAAGAAGTCAAGCTCCGAACCTGTTGGGTACGTGTTTGATGTTCCATAGTATGATTGATGCTCTAGAAATTTAACATGACATGATATTCGGGTTCGTCTTTTGGCAACATCATAGCAGACGTAGCCTTTGTGCTTATCGCTATAACCGATAAACACACATTTAACTGCTTTAGGAGTAAGCTTAGTTCGCTCCTGCCGAGACACCAACACATAGCATATGCACCCAAAAACACGCAACCATCCATAATTAGGTAGACGCGAATAAAGAACCTGATACGGGCTTTGCTGCTGGAGAGTCGTAGTGATTTGTCTATTAATCAGATAGACCACTGTATGAACTGCTTCGACCCAAAATCCCGATGGTACCTGTGAATGGATTAATATAGCTCGGGTAAGTTCAAGAACGTGACGATGCTTTCGTTCGACCAGTCCGTTCTGCTGAGAGACGCCGGGACATGATAGCTGCTGTAAAATGCCACGTTCTCGGAAAAGGTCCATGAGTGAATGTGAGGAAAATTCCCCTCCCGGATCTGATCGTAAGATCTTAATCACCTTACCAAATTGAGTCGACACCATCTGCACAAATTCACGAGCTACTGTCAACAGATCTGACTTCTGCCGCAAGAAGTACACCCATGTAAACCGGGTAGCCTGATCAACAAACAATGCGAAGTAACGGAATCCCAGTCGTGATGTCACAGGCGACGGCCCCCACAAATCAGTGTGAACTAACTCAAAAGGTTCAGTGTAAACCGTATCACTAGCAGTAAAAGACTTCTGCGAAATCTTAGCTTGTAAACAATGAACACACTCATGTGAATTATTCCCAGAAATAGATCCCGACAACCAATG